ATAATAATATTAATAATAATAATAATAATAATAATAATAATAATAATAATAATAATAATAATAATGATGGTGATAATAATAATAATTCATAATAATAATATATATACTACTATATAATACTATATATATAATTATGATGAGAGAATTATTATAATAATTATATTGATAACAATATTAATGATAATAATAATAATATTAATAAATATTATATATATAAATGAGAAATTGCGTTTCCATAAAATTCAATTAATGTTAGAGAATTGTTATAACATTATTGTTATTAATACTATAATGCATACAATTATCACAATAATTCTCTAACATCGATAGAACCTCACCGAAACGCAACACCTAATTTCCCGACACGTGACGATCAACGACACGACACGAGTATTATTTCACCAACGCGACGAAACGAGAACGTTCGAAAACACGGATCGACGACAGAAGCGTTTCCAGCGGGGTCCGTACGGGTTTATTAGACAGTTCTCGGGCGGCGCAAATATATACGTAACGCTTCTTCCTTTGACTTCGGAATTAGAGTGGCAACACGGAGGCCGAATTATCTACAGTCCGCTCCAAGAATCCGGACACAAATTCACGGCAAAGAGACGAAGTTCGTTAGAGCGTGTCTCGCGGCGGGCACAATCCACCCTTTGATTATGATTGGGCATCAAATAGAGCGGACAGAACGCGCTACAAAACGACCGCGCGCGAGAGAATCTCCGCGCTTGCCGTCCTTCCTTTTTCTTTTCTTCTTTTTTCCGGGGAGGGCAAACGAGCGATAGAAATTCGCGGTATCCACGGAATATTCGCCGCGATCGCGTCTCAAAGAATACGTCGGCTTCTTGGGTCGCCTCGGCTCGCGTTAACGCGGAGTACGTGCGTTGATTGCGAGCTGTACAATTATTTCCGAGCGAGGAGTTCGCCTCGCCTCGCCTCGCCGCGCAGATTCGAATGGCTTTCCGATGGAAACAGAAGCAAATCGCGGCTGCAGTCGCTGCAGAGAGGATTATACGGCGAGCCGCGTTCATAAATTATGCGATTTATATATCTTAGGGAGGCGCGGAGGCTTTTTTCGGAATAACGATGAGCCGGCTCCTCGCTCGAATAACCAACGAGTCGCTTCGCCCCCACCACACCCCCACCACTCCGGCTCGATGTTCCGCCCTCTGTCTTCTTCGAGCGGAGCGCGCGGACCCGGACCCGCGGCTGAACTGGAAATCAATTTTCCTTGGTTCAATATTGGTACGAGCCGGTATTTTCTTGACCACGGGCTAAAATAGAATTTTCCTTTTTAGCGGCGATTCGTACGGCCGGTCACGGACTCGTTTAAATTATTAGATTTGTCGCCGCCGGCCACACCTTTTGCGATCGTCGCGGCCGGCGATACACGCGAACGGGGGAGGGCGGGGGGTGTAAGGCGCGATCGGAAAAGTAGTGAGCAGGCTGTGGATTATTTTATGCGTTTATGGCGACGATTGATGCGAAAATTCTGTGAATAAGGTTGGGTGATAAAACTGGGTTGTCTTTCTTTCTTTCTGTAAAGTTGCCGGTGAAACGCGCGTATTTTTAAATTCTTGACGTATCTTTCGTCGGGAAAGTAACCTTGATCTACATTGATCTGTAAATTTTTAAAGACGAAACCGTTCTTGCGCGGTCTTTATTTATGCGATGTTTCTTGCGTGGCTTTTTTCTGCGGCTACTATCTATGATACTAGAGAAAAAGAACGGGTATTCGCATACCGCGTAGAAAATATTGCACGGAAGAAATCGTACGAAATAAATTGAATAAATAAAGATTGCAGAAAAAGAGGTTTTTGACTGTACATCAATTTTGTTCGATCTGCGAAGAGTATACCTTTGGGTCTGTGTACAGTAATGTCTCTCTAATTGACGCTCGGATTATCCACAAAAATAGACAATTTGGGAAGAGGAGATACGATTATTCGAGCGTTGCGATTCTCGTTTTTATAGTTACGAATTGTCAACGACTATGAAAGAACGAGCTACAAGGCTCGAATAATCGTATCTCCTCTTCCGAAATTGTCCATTTTTCTGCGCAATCTGAGCGCGAATTAGGGAGACATTACTGTAATTCTAATTTTATTCTGCACAATCTGAGCGTCAGTTAGGGAGACATTACTGTTGCACGCTTCCGAAAAGAGGAAATCTGTGTGCAAACGTTGCGAGACGCTTTAGGAATAATGAATCGAATAGCAAAGAGAATGTCAATGGCTCGTCGTTTCGTTCGATTAAATGATAACGCGGTATCGATCGAGGAGTTGGCTAGCTTCCTCGATGTTCGAAAGGTGGCCCGTGGTCACGCGACCATCGATCCTTTTCAGATGCATAAAGAATGAGACGAAGCTACAACGGCGTTGTTTGCGCGACTTCATACGGAATAACGAAATCTTTGTCGTTGTTCCGTTGCAACCGGTAAATCATCGTTCGAGCGAGCACGAATGTGACTGCAACATCCTGCTAGTGATCATTTAAAAATCGAGTTCGTTCGATGCTAATGTGGGAACTCTAAATTAATACTTCCCACATTAGCATTACATAAACTCTAAATTAATACTTTCTCTCTTTCGTTAATGTAATTTTTATAAATTGAAAGCGACACATCGACGCTCTTAATTTCTTTTAATTTCGCTACTTTGATTCGCTTTTACTCGTTTTTCGTGATAAATGAATAAAATACGCGGTCTAATCATCGCATTCTCACAAAGTGCGATGATTATAGTTATAGCGATCCTCGTAGCACGATAAAATGAGAGATACGGTATAAGAAATAATTTACGTCGCTATCGAACCCACTTTCTAGATTAAAAAATTGCTTGTTTCAATGCAACAACGTCTCGAATTACTTAATCTATGCTTGCGGTAATCCCGACAAGTAGTAACTTTCTTCCCCGCAGCAAAAACGTCGACGAGCATTTTCATTTTTTTCGACGGTGGCGCAGTTCTACGAAAAATCTGAGTAAAATTGAGCGCACTGCTTACGACAGCACCTTATCAGGGAATTAATATCAGAGTAGTATGGTATTTTCGTACAGTATTTTTTTCGTATAGTATAGTATTTTCGTTTTCGAGATATCTTCGATTTTCCGATTTTCTTGTTGCTTTTCCATTTCTGATAGCCGCAGCTTGCGACCAGAAAATCTGAAAAAATTCTGCAATGCGCGGCTCGATGTCCGAAACGAGCGACATTTTTTTCTAAATTTTAAAAAGTCACCGAAGGGGCGAACTGGGCGGTCAAGCGCCCAAATCTAATTTACCCTGTAACTACACCCGCGCACAAGTTACAGGCTTGAAATCTTGCACAGACTAGTTTTTCTCGATCAGCCATCGTTAAAAAAGCTCATTGATACTCATTAAAAAATCTCTAAGGGCAGTTTCGACCATCTTGATCGGTTAAGCTCTTCGATCCACGACGATTTTTATAGAATCTGGAATTTTCAAGATCAGGATACGGAACGTGCTCTCCACAAATCTCTGCGTGGCCAGAGAAACAAATGAACGCGATGTTTCTGCATCGAGAAGTCGACGTTGCGACGTCCTTGAAAACTCTTCTAAGACTCATCGTCGCGTTAGTCTCGAAAAATTACACTTTCGTTCAGCAAATCTTTCGTTGCACCTCGATAGCGCATCCGCAGTTCTCGTTATTGGACTTGCTATCGTTTGATTCCGTTTGTTTATCGTTCTTATTGTCTCGCAATTTTGCGGTAAATATCGATTTCAAGAGCTAAGAATTCTGCACTCGACAGCAATCGAAATAAAAACCCATTAAAAACTGAGAAAATGGAAATCGGAAGTAACGAATAAAATTAGAATTACAGTAATGTCTCCCTAATTCGCGCTCAGATTGCGCACAAAGATGGACAATTTGGGAAGAGGAGATACGATTGTTCGAGCCTTGTAGCTCGTTCTTTTATAGTCGTTGACAATTCGTAACTATAAAAACGAGAATCGCAAGGCTCGAATAATCGTATCTCCTCTTCCCATAGTGTCCATTTTTGTGCATAATCCGAGCGTCAATTAGAGAGACATTACTGTATATTCTTCCTACTTGTCTTAAATCTCTTATTTCACGTGTCCTAAAGAAATACCGACAAAGTCGTCATCGTTGTTCCGAAATTGTCCATTTTATCGTGCACAATCTGAGCGTGAATTCGGTGGAATTTATCCTCGATGACAATTCGTCGTCGTCGTCGAGGGAATTTCGCGGAAATCTACCGTAGATCGCGCGAGAACTGTCAGTCATTAATATTTTACAATCCCGTTTTTTACGATCGTAACCGTGGCCCGTTGCCCGTCAAAACTCGATCCAGCCTGCCGGGCTAATAATTCCAGTTTTATACGAGCGGTATATATTTTTCAGCATGCGAACGCGCGAGAGCCAGCCGCGCGCTCTCTCTCTCTCTCTCTCGACTCGCCTACTGTTCGACGCCCAGGCGAACGTCAAACGCAGCATCGGCATTAAGGGAATAGCGTATATCCGTGGGGGAGATTTAGACGACGGGGTCAATCAGGATCAATCGCGGTGTAATTGGTTCGTGCACGGAATAAACGGATAAACAATACATGTGTCGCAGATTTTCTGACTGAGATCCAATGTATGCGTGTATATAGTAATTTCGACGTAATTCGTGCACAGATTGCGCACAAAAATAGGACGATTTGTGGAAGGAGAGATGCTATAAAAACGAGAACCGCGAGGCTCGAATAATCGAATCTTTTTCTTTCGAAATTGTCCATTTTTCTGAGCGATTTGACCTCGAATTAGGGCGAAATTAGTGTATATTGAAAGCGAAGATCATTTTTGCGAAGATGAATGCCCTTTATGATGAATAGAGTTAGTCTTTGTGGGCTGCGATTTTTAATTTGTTTTAACAACAGATTCCTCGTTACTTCAGTTCCAAATATTTATCTCTCTGCACGATCTCTCTGTAGATGTCGATAACGATTAGACTTGAACAAACTTTTTTATCTATCAAATTCATATCAGAGTTACGTTTTTTTATCACTTCTTCCTCTCTAATAATTCCACAAATTGAACGGAACAGATTTCATTATTTATTGCGATTATTATTACATAATTACATAATTACACAATTATTACATAATATATAATATAAACAATATTACATAATATTGACATATCTCGAGAATAATATTATTATTATTATTATTATTATTACTATTGTTATTATTTTAATTTTAATTTTTATTTCTATTTTTATTTTTATTTTTATTTCTACTTTCATTTTTACTTCTATTTTTATTATCGTTATCGTTATATATATCATTTCTATTTTTGTTAATATTATTATTATTATTATTATTATCATTATTATTATTTAAATATTTATTCTGATATTAGTTAGTCATTCTAATATTATTCTGAATTTTCAAATTGGATTCACCCTTTGAAACAAAAACGAGCTACGATGATTGTTTCTAACGTTACAGCTAGCTTCGGTTAGGAACCCTTAATTATGAACAATTTCCCAGAACAAAGTTCCGCAATTGAGTAATTAAACGTTCCCGTTATATATATATACCGTACAGACGCGATACTTTGCGAGGAGCACCGTCACAGCGAAACGATTGAACCGATAAGACTTCGAACGGTTCTGCGTGGACAATCGTCGCCGCAGTCATCGTCCCATCAATCTCCGTTCCGGCCTGGCTCATCATCGCACAAATTAAGGGTACCCTCGTTTAGAAGCGGAGTCCGCTCGGGGCAAGCAGCTCGTATCGTTCGCGAGAAATCCCGTCCGCGAGACCGAATCGAGAAACAATAAAAGCGCCGACCCGTCGCGGCGACTGTTCGCGCGCGTGTGTGTGCGCGCAAGAACACGCGCGGGCGCGCGAGTGTGTGCAGTGGTGATTGCGCGTGTTTCCGTACGGCCCAGGCCGAGTGAAATGATCGACAGCCAGTGAGGAGAACCGAGCTTCCGCGGGCCGAGGAAACAAGGGTGTCCAAATCAAAATGGGAGAGGTATTGCACCGGCGACGTCAGTCGCGACGACAGTCGCTGCGCTAAACTTTAACATCCCCGTCTTTCGCTAATTTGTTATTTCAATCTGTCACCGCCTCGGCTGCATGTCGCTGAAACATTCTACAGCTCCTCGATGCAATTCTTCGGCGAACGGACGTCGGACCGCTTCCCACGCTCCTCGAAACGATGCTCGATCGCGCCAACGAATCGAAAATTATTCCAACCCATTTACATCGACGCATTATCCACCGGCGACGGCACCGTTGTTTTCTGAAAGTCTGCAATTTACAGTTAAGAGCTTCTTAATAGATTCGTCAATGGCAGCGGCAATTCGAATCTTGTCCCGCCGTGTCGCCTCCAGTTATGTGATCCGATGACTTTGCTCGTGGTTGTCGTGCAAAGTGAAACACAATTTCGAAGATTCCTCTTAGCGGACGATGATTCGAAGCAATACTAATTGGATTTCCAGTGCATGAAAAAAGGGTGTCTCTTCTAAGCGTGGCACCCGAAATATCTTCCTCAATTGCGAACAAACGTAACACATTATTTCGCGCGATTTTAATTGTGTCAAGTGGTCGGTGTCCCGCAGGGGTTGTTTTTTTTCAATGCTTCTTCTCGTAGTTTCCGGGGTCGTCGATGTTCTTTTTCAAGTATCTACGTGCATTTTCGTGTCGCATCCTGCAACTCGTACAAAAATACAGTCGAGTATGCGCTGTGACGTGATCTTCGAATGACCTTGAACTTCGTAGACGAAGGTGAAACTTAAATTGCAGCCTTGCGAACGAGAATGCAAGCTTTGTGAGAAATGCTAACGCACCTGTACAATCTGTAGAAAGCTCGTTTCGTAGCACAAAAAATTGTCGAATAATATATGCAAGTTTAGTAGACGTTTTAAAGAAATATTGACATAACCTAGAAGACGACGAAATGAGAGAACATTTGAAAAACTGGACTAAGTGACTTGAAGTTGTTTTAGGTTATAGAGAAACTGGTATACTGGACAATGACCAAAACGTCTTTTTTCGTTTTAATTTTGCTATTTTGCTACTTGGAATGACGAAGAAATAAAAACACTCGCTTTTCATAACGTTTTTATCTGAGCCTGTAACGAAAATGTAAAAAATGTCTTTCGTAGATCTCGGTAACTTATATGCATGCTGATCATCGATACATTGATATCGTTATAGCATTAACAAATTTTTCGTGAAATACGTTCAACAATAGCATGCACGAACACCTAGTATGCATGTTCCTCTAACGAGAATGAGAATGAAGAAACACCACGGAAAAT